TTGACTGCTAACCAGAAGGCTGGCGGTTCAAACCCACCAGCCACTCCTTGGAAGGAAGATTGGGCAATCTACTTCCATAGTGATACTGCCTTGGAAACCTAAAGAGGGCTTTCTATAAGCCGGATCCGACTCAACAGCAATATGTTTGATTTTTTGGTTTTATACACATACATACATAAATAAATGAAGCCAAGATCTGCATGCCAAATCACATGCCTTCATTTCAGGTGCAGTCCCATATAATAACCAACCTGGTGTTGTGAAGTACCACTGAATTGCTTCTGACTCACAGAGAATCGATGTGACAGTGTAGAACTGCCTCATAAGGTTTTCTTGGCTACAATCTTTACAGAGCAGATCACCAAGTCTTTCTTCTGCTGAGTTGCTTGATGGGTTTGAACCATCAACTTGTCAAGTGATTAATTGTTTGTGTCATCAGGGCTCCTGAGCGAAGGCATGCCATTCCCAATTTATTTTAACTGTTTTAAAAGAAAAAGTGCTGAGAGGGATCAAGGTCACTCTTGGCAGGCCTCCATCAACACAGGCTTACTTACTGAACCATCACTTACACCATATAATCACTACATTCGTATAAATGACATCATGTCCCCTAGGCAGACAGCACTATTTTTCCTCACTTTTATAATCTGAACAGTAAGCACAGGGTTTGGGGAACACAAGTGGGGTTATGGGTTGAATTGTGTCCCCCTAGCTCTGGTGGCATAGTGCCTAAGGCATTTGACTGCTAACCAGAAGGCTGGCGGCGGTTCACACCCACCAGCCACTCCTCTGAAGAAAGGTTGGGCAATCTACTTCCATAGTGATACTGCCTTGGAAACCCAAGGAAGGGTCTCTATGAATCAGATCCAACTCAATAGCAGTAAGAAAACGAGAAAAAATATGTGTTGGAATCCTAACCCTCGTACCTGTGGATGTGATCCAATTTTAAAATAATTTTTCTTTGTTATGTTAATGAGGTCTTATCACTGTAGCATACGTCTTAAATCTACTTACTTTTGGGATTTAAAAAGAGCCATTCAGGTACATAGAAGGAAGAATAAGGGAAAGATAGATGCCACCAGGAGATCTCTAAGGTACACCAAGAACACTACAGAAACTGAAACAAGGATTATCCCCCAGAACGAACAGAGAGCAAGCCTTCCCCTAGAGCTGGTGCCCTGAATTCAGACTTCTATACTCCTAAACTGTGAGAAACTAAATTTCTGTTCATTAAAGCTACCCATCTGTGGTACTGCTATGGTAGCATAGTGCCTAAGGCGGCGTTCACACCCACCAGCCACTTCTCGGAAGGAAGATGGGGCAATCTACTTCCGTAGTGATACTGCTTTGGAAACGCAAGGAGGGGTCGCTATGAGTCGGATCCGACTCGACGGCACATAACAACAACAACAATAATTAGTTGTTTAATAATTAATGTTTCCAATGTCCCTAAGCACCCAGACTGACACTTTAAGTCTCTTGAGACATGCAGACATGGATTGGTCTCAGCAGCCAGAGAGCCTGTGTCATCAAGGACTGGTCTATAAACCAACAATCTGAGCCTCAATTATACTTTGGGGTAGAAAACAAAACTGTGAATGCAAGAGAACTTTCTGCATTCAGGGACAGTAAAGCAGTTGTTTTATGCGATTGGAAAAGTTTCAGATGATAAGCACAGCTGTTCTCAAAAAAAAAAACAATGCTTTGGAGGGCAAGGACCTTGCGCACATTCAGCACTGAACCCCCAGTGCCTGGCACAGGCCTAGGATACATGGGCACTAAAATTTGTTCAATGACTGAAACAGAAAGAATCACATCACCTACAGGTCCATAGACCTTCCAGAAAGCCTCACACATCACTGGTGTTCAAAAAGAACACTGAGGTATTGTAGGCAAAAATATATATTGATTACTTGACATCTTGAAAAACAGCATAAAATAATCCATATATGGACATTCCACCTTCAGCACCATTACCAAAATACAATTCACATAAGTAAGAATAAATATATATTACATTCTAGGGAGAAAAAAATCAATGCTGTGAGTGAAACAGGGAACAGTGGTGGTACAGGGATTAAGTGCTCGGCTGCTAACCAAAAGGTCAGCATTGAAAACCACCAGTGGCTCCGAAGGACAAAGATGTGGCAATCTGCTTCCACAGAGATTACAACCTTGGAAATTCTATGGGGCAGTTCTATTCTGCCTTATGGGGTTACTATGAGTCAGAATGTACTTGGCAGCAAAAGATTTTTTTGGTTTTGGTAAGTGAAATTGTGAGGTACACAAAAAGATAAATATACTTACCTGCAGCATGTCATCGACCATAGTTAGAATGTACTGAACTGTCTGTTCTTTGGAGATATGAGTCATGAGATTTATAAATGTTTTAGCACACTAGAAAAAGAATTTTTAAAATTAATGTTACTGTTTTCAATCATAAATAGCATTTTAATAGAATTTCAGTGAAACATTATTTCTCTTCCATGCATATTTCAATTACAGAAAACATATACCTTTCAAAAGTGTCTACCTTTCACAAATATTGTGACGTGTGGGAGGACCACACTCTGACCTACATCCAAATTTTTGGTATCTAGTGATAAATTTAAAAATGTTTGCTATTTCTAAAGACATACCTAGCTATTATCAACTCTTGATTACACATGGTAACATAAAGGTTCAATATGTAGACAATCAAAAATTGTAATTGGTCTAGAATTGTTTCTTACTCTATTTTACCTTTTGCACTTACTGGGAAACAGTATTAGAGAAAAAGAGTACTGCAAATGGAATCAGAAGGCTTTGTCTTATTTCCCTTCTACAAATTATCATCTATGGGACAATCTTTCTGGAATTCAGTAAAAACTGGAGCCAACAATATGTTTCCTATCAATTTTCTCAGTATTGCAATAAGAATCAGACTGAGTTGTATACAGGCTCTTTCAGCAAACAAAGGACCCTATATTAGAAAACATGATGGACTCCGGAAATGCATCTTATTCAGGTCATGTTCTAAAATCAGAATACAAATCAAACAGTGTAAAATCAAAATTATCCTATATAATCCTTTTAATCTTCCATGGTTCTGTGTGTGCAACACCATTCCATAACAGGTCTGTGTCGTACTTTGAGAAACCTTCCATACCCTAAGGACATAGAAATTCAAGTACATTTCATTCAGTATTCATTCATTCAACACATCCTCAATGTAATAAATAGCATGTAATAAGGGAGCTTTGGTGGAGTAGTGCCTAAGGCATCTGACTGCTAACCAGAAGACTGGTGGTTCAAACCCACCAGCCACTCCTCGGAAGGAGGGTTGGGCAATCTACTTCCACAATGACACAGCCTTGGAAACCCAAGGAGAGGTCACTGTGAGTTGGATATGACTCGACGGCAGTGAGTTTTTTTTATTTGGTACAAAAAACTGTATAGCTTATCAAAATCATACTCATTCCACAGCCTATGCTGTATGAGTCATATCTCCTATAGAAGTCCATTTATCACAATGAATACTGGTTGAAAACATCACAGAATTAATACCTGTAACAATATTCACATCACTAAAAGAAAAAAAAAATCAATACTAATAAGTTACTCCATTTCTTAAAACTAAAACATTAAAGTGGTAAACAATCAACCTCTTTCAGTCAAAAAAAAATATAAACTGCCTTTGGCATGTCTAAAGAGCTCTGGTGGCATAATGCCTAAGCATGTGACTGCTAACCAGAAGGCTGGTGATTCAAATCTACCAGTCACTCCACAGAAGGAAGACTGTGCAATCTACTTCTGTAAAGATTTACCACCTTGGAAACCCAAAGGTGGTCACTTTGAGTCAGAATTGACTCAATGGCCGTGACTTTGGTTTGGTTTTTGGTTTGGCATTTCTTTCACAGCTCTTTTTTTAGACAAACTGCCTGAGTAGTACAAATTGTTAAAATGCTTGGCTGCTAACCAAAAGGTTGAAGGTTCATGTCCATTCAAAGGCACATCATAAAAAAGGCCTGGCAATCTAATTCCAAAAAATAATCCACTGAAAATACTATGGGGCACAGTTCTACTCTTACACATAGGCGGTCAACACGAGTCAGCATCAACTCAATGGCAATGGGTTTCTGCTATTTTGTTGGGTGAAACAACATATTTCCTGGCAACCACCCCATAAAGTCCCATATTAAGGCCAGGGCCTGAGGAAGGCAGGCCTGGGGATTGGAGGCTGCTTTTGCTTGGGTATGGCTTTATATTAATTAAGGCCCAGGCCTAAGGTAGGCAGGTGCAGAGGGGTTAGGAACAACTAAGGGAGACAAACTTGTCTGTCAGTTTGTCATCCTGCAGTGGCTCATGTGTTGCTGTGAGGCTGGAGGCTATGCCACCATGTTGCAAAACGCCAGCAGGCTTACCCATGGTAGACAGGTTTCAGCGAAGCTTCTGGGCTTAGACAGACACGGAAGAACGAAGAGGCCATCCACTTCTCAAAGGATTGACCAGTGGAAACCTTATGAATAGCAGTGAAACACTGTCTATTACTACAAAACTTTATGGACAACACTGAAACATTGTCCACCTAGTTTCAGTGGTAGAGCAGGAAAAGACACTCCCATATACTGCTGGCAGGCATTGTAAATTGTTATAATCTATCAAAAGAACATTTTCATTGGTGCACATCCAACCCTTATAAATTTCCAAATTGTCTGATCAATAATTACATTTCCAAAATTTGTTATAAGGAAATAATCAAGTATGTTAACTTCAAGATTCCTTATAATAGAAACCAAAATAAAACTCACTGCTGTCGAGTCGGCTCTGACTCACAGTGACCCCTCCTTGGGTTTCTGAGGTGGTATCACTATAGAAGTAGATTGACCAATCTTCCTTCCGAGGAGTGGCCGGTGGGTTTAAACTGCCGGCCTTCTGGTTAGCAGTCAAATGCCTTAGGCACTACACCAAGTTCACGTTCATATTAACAAACGGGTAGGTTACATATGTATAGTAAAATATCTAGTGAAGAACAGACTAAAATGTTAACAATGTTAACACAGGTTATCTTGAATCAAGGAAAATTAGATTAAATAATTCTCATTTTCTTCTTTCTGATGTTTCTTTTAACCTGTCAAATTAGACACTTCAAACACTACTAGTGAGAATGTTGTTGTTATGTGCCATCGAGTCGGACCCAACTCATAGAGACCCCTCCTTGGGTTTCCGAGGCAGTATCACCATGGAAGTAGATTGCCCAACCTTCCTTCCAAGGAGTAGCTAGCTGGTGGGTTTGAACCGCCAGCCTTCTGGTTAAAAGTCAAATAAATACCTTAGGCACTATGCTACCAGAGCTCCACTAGTGGGAATACAAAGTGGAAAAACTTTCCTAAAATAAAAGTTTAAGCAACTCTAAAAACTTCATATACTTTGAAATGATAAATTTCCTTCTAGGAATCTATTCTAAGAAGATATTCAAAAATGCGAGAGAGATTGGAAGTAAAAATATATTCAATATAACATTTTTTTCCAAAATTAGATAACTGGAAACCACTTAAATGTCTTCCAATAAAAGGATTTTTAGTTAAATTATGATACATAGTTACAATGGCCTATTACATAGTCATTAAAATTTGTTTTTCTAGAATTTTTAATGACACGGTGAAGAGTTCATGATAAAATGTTTGTATCAATCACCTGGCTGCCTTCAGCTTGCAGCATGTCTTGCTTCTCTTCAGGACTTCTCTTCATTTCAAATTTTTGAATAAATTCACAATCTTCAGCAGAAATCATCTGTCCCCTAGAAAGTAAGAATAAGCTGTTTTTGTTCAATATAAGTTGAATAGCCACTGTGAGAAAGTGATAGAGGAATTCTCAGCCTTTCTCCTCTCTCCTGGCACCACTAGACTGTATGACCTCTCTGGAACCTGAGTTAATTTATCTGCAAAAAGGGAGTAACAGCCAAATTGTCTTTAAGGAGTTGTACTGTGGCTGCACTTAAATAATTCATACCACTTGGCTCACAGTAAGGAGCTCTTGTGGTGTAGTGTTTAAGGCATTTTGCTGTTAAACAAAAGGTCAGTGGTTTAAACACACCAGCTGCTCTGCGCAAGACAAGGCAGCCTTGAAAACACAATGCAGGTCACTATGAATCTAAACTGACTCAATTGCAGTGAGTCCAGAGTCTGGGCTCATAGTAATAAGCACTCAATAAAAGTTATCTGTTAGCACTATCCAATGTCTCACCCTCACTTCCACTCCCAAGCCAAATAATGTATTTGGCCACCTAATTCATCAAAATCAAAGCCTCTTTAAATGAACTTTTACAATCCGTAAGTGCTTCAAGTTATCTTCACTTTCAGCAAGCAAGGCTGTGTCATCTTATCACAGGTTGTGAATGAGTCTTCCTCCAATCCTGATGCCCTGTTTTTCATACCCATGTCACTTTAGTTTTGTATTTCACTGTACATAAATTATATTTCAATAAAATGTATTAAAAAAAAAAGGCAAAGTTCAATCTCTTTAGCACAGTGCAAAAAGGGCAAGGAGGCCACATATTCTGACCTCCTAGAACCCCACAAGAGGAAGGCAGAATCACTATCAATAGCCTAAGGCCTATTACTGCAAAACCAGACATGCTGCCTCCCTCCAGCCTTTTCACCAACCGTTCCTCCCAAAGCCCCCACCACCTCTCTCCTGGGTTCGATAATTCACTGCAGTGGCCACACAGAACTCACAGATTATGAGGTTTACGAGGAGCTCTGGTAGCATAGTGGCTAAAAGCACTTGACTGCTATCCAGAGGGCTGGCGGTTCAAACCCACCAGCCACTCCTCGGAAGGAAGGTTGGGCAATCCTACTTCCAT